AAGCGGTTATAAGCCTGGGTAATGTTGTATTTCAGATTAGTAAAATCAGAACGGCATTTCGTCTGTTCGAACGTTTCTTGCTGTGTTCTAACCAAGTAACACATTCAATAGCGAATGTGAACAAAATGTCGTTATGACTTTACCAACCTGAAATACAACATCATCTAAGCTTGAACTGTCGAAAATTACTCAGCTCGCTAAGTTTTCAGACGAAAATTGACGGAACTTACTCGCTGGTTGTGTCGTAGATGCGGTTGTAGTAGTTGCCGTCGTGCCGAACAGCGGTTTTGCAGCCGAAGTTGATCCGAACAATGAGGTTCCGCCGGTTGCACCAGTGGTGGCTCCACCAGTCAATGGCGTACTCGTAGCACTTGGTGCACCGAATGTGAAGCCTGGCATGATGAGCGTCAGTCTCCTCTCGAAACCTGAATGAGGTATAAGTTTATCAGACCTGTCTAACTTGAATAAGATCCACGTATATTTCACGAAACGTTGGAGTAATCCGGAAGAACGCGTCGTACATAAACCAGATGCAACAACAACAACAAGCACTCGGAATTCTGGTCTCATCACACATCCTTCAGGTGATCAACAAACATATCCATCGCTCCATCGCATCCTCCTCATTGCAAAGGCGGTAACTTTGTATTCTAGTTGGCGTCGTCGCACTTCGCCATAAGAACGCGTCTGAGCGCAGGGGTGGAGTCAGCGAAGAGCATGCGCAATCGCTGTTCAACGAGTAATTGAGCGCTTGAATGGGCAAAATTTGTACTGATGGTATATCGGAAAGGGACCGTTTTGAGAGGTGATTCATTGCGGATTGATTAAGGGGATTGTAACCATTTTGTAGAGAATGAAATTTTCTATCATTTAAACCGTTTTTTTCGAAAACTATCCATTATAAAAAATCTTGAGCGGTCTGAAAGTAGAAAATATTGTGCAAAAGTGAAAATCACAATTATGTAGTACCTAATTTCAAGTTAAAGAAAAGAGATTCAACCGGAGAGGTTATATACATCTTGTAGAGCTTGGAAAGTTGTATCAGATAAGCTTTTTTATTTAGAAAAAACGAAGGCACTTTTTGGGGGTATGGGGGATCTGAAAGAGGAAAAAAATTGCGGTTGAATGCAGAGAGTACCCAATTGATCTTTATTATCCATTACTTCTCAATCTTCGCCTCATGTGATTGACAAGTATTCAATTTAATTAAAACCC